AAACCCAAAAACAAAAACAAAAAAGTTACAAACCTAATATGTTTGAAAACTAACAATACAATTTTTTTGATTTCGTGTTGAAAAATTAGACACATTTGTGGGAGGTTCATACCAACAGATGTGGCGATAAAGGGCTATAGTTACTACATGTAGACCACACCAATTATATTGCTACTAGTATTTAGCAACAATTCAAATGTATAATTATACATACGTTATATATTATTTATTTTCGGTTCGGTATGAGATTACCAAAGGATTGAGTAGACAATATAGAATCTCATACCAAAATTTCCGGATTGATTCAATATTTCATCTCGAAAATTTCAGGAATTTTGGGTTGGAGTTTTTTTGGTTTAGGATCAGGATTTTTTTGGTTTGGTTTAGGATTTTCAGGAATTTTTTCTAGCACTATATTTGTCCCAAAAGTTAGAGCAAGTTGGAATAAGTAGAACCAAATTTGAGTTTTACTATAAGAAGACCTTGGATGTGGTCTCTAGCTATCAATATTTTTTGACTGAAGCCTTATTGGTTTTCAATTTTTGATCGAAATCCCTGAAATTAATGTGATAATTAAATATCTTCGATTAAACTTGACATAATATTTAAACCAAAATTCCAAACCAAATGATGTGTCACCAACACTGTTCTAAAAATTCTCGCCTAGTGCCGCCTAGGTGCTAGGCAGCTGGCCACCACTTCGATTAATGCCTTGGTGTTTGAATACTAAGAAATGCCATATAAGTTTAAAAATAGATTAGAGAAAAATTGAATAGATTTTATATATAAAAAAAAAATGTGACAACCCGTCCCTAAAATTTCATTTTTATATATTTTAATTGAGAGAATTGACGAAAATACCCTTAGAGGCGAGGGTATTGACTTCCATTGATCAACTTGTTATGAGACGTACAAAATATTCTTTTAGTGTATTCCTGAAGTACTTGGCAATATGGGCGCGTAGGGCATGCAAAAGCGGATTTGGAATAATGGTGTGACCAATTATTATTATTTTATATATTTTCATAAGTACTATTATATTATGGGAAGAATATATTTGGTAAGAAAGGAGATAAGGAAATGAAGAAACAGAGAGAAGGGGAGGACTGCTGCCCAATCCGATAAGGAAGCTAAGAGGGCTGCTGCCCAATCAAGAAGATGAGAAAAGTGAAGGACCAACCAGAGAAGAGAGCAAGGAAGGGAAATGAGGGAGAGGAGATGCGCCGGATCTCCTTGACCCGTTTGTTCCTCATCGGACTTGCGCGACCTAGTGGTTTTCCATCATTTTTCCGTTGATTTTCCTGCGACTCGAACCTGGCCACCACCTAAAAATGAATCATCATCATTCCCTTTTCCAATTCCATGCAAAACCCAATTCTTTTAACCCCAATTTGAGGGGAATCGAGCTATCAAACTCGTGGGTGTGACATCCCACATCGCCAGGGGAGTGATCCTTATATGTATATTCTCATCCCTACCTAACACGAGGCCTTTTGGGAGCTCACTGGCTTCGGGTTCCGTAGGAACTCCGAAGTTAAGCGAGAAGGGGGTTAGAGCAATCCCATGATAGGTGACCCACTGGGAAGTTGCTCGTGAGTTCCCAAAAACAAAACCGTGAGGGAATGGTAAGCCCAAAGCGGACAATATCGTGCTACGGTGGTGGAGCGGGCCTAGGAAGTGGTCCGCCCTGGGCGGGGATGTGACAGTTTGGTATCAGAGCCTAACCCTGGTCGCGTGTGTGCCGACGAGGACGTCGGGCCCCTAAGAGGGGTGGATTGTGACATCCCACATCGCCCAGGGGAGTGATCTTATATGAATATTCCCATCCTTACCTAACACGATGCCTTTTGGGAGCTCACTGGCTTCGGGTTCCGTAGGAACTCCGAAGTTTAGCGAGAAGGGGGCTAGAGCAATTCCATGATGGGTGACCCACTGGGAAGTTGCTCGTGAGTTCCCAAAAACAAAACCGTGAGGGAATGGTAAGCCCAAAGCAGACAATATCGTGCTACGGTGGTGGAGCAGGCCTGGGAAGTGATTCGCCTCAGGCCGGGATGTGACATGGGGGTTCCGAAGGTTGCCACGGCGGAATCCGCCATTTGTGAAGTGTTTCTCTTCAATTACCATCACCAAAATACTCCTCAAAATGTCAGGAACAAGGCCCAATTAGTGGTTGGAGCGTCAGAGTTAATTTGAGGACGAATCACCAAACCAACACCCAAAGTATAGGGTTCTGACGGGTTCATAGCAATTTGGAGCTTTTCTCGGTCAAATGAGACTTGGTCACATGTATAAAACTTGCTATAATCATTGAGATCTTCATTTCTGTGAAATTTTGGAAATAGTTGGATTTTCCGGCGAGTCGGGGCGGCCGACCGCCACCCACGGCGGAGGGTGGCTAGGGGGTCGTCGATGTCATTCTTAGGCTAAATTAGATGCCTTGAGTTCAATCTTGGTAATTGTATGAGATAGGTTGATGGTTGGAACCTAAATTCTCTATGTTACGTTATTTGGTAAAAGTTTGAATTGACGATCTAACCGTTGGATTGTCACCAAACTTTAATACATTGTAGTACGTAATATTTGAGGACCATAAACTTACGGATCGGTAATCCGACGTACGAATCTTCCCGAATTGGATTTGTAAGTTCATAAAATAAAATGTTGACCGCCACTTGGTTTTGGCAATTGGCGAAAATCCGACCGTTGGATCGTAATGAAACATTAGGACATTGTTCTAGAAACATAATGTGGATCCTTGCAAGTAACGGATCGGAAATCCGTGATGCAGATCTTCCGGACTGAATTACATAGGGATGTGTGTAAATTATGTATTCTATCGGTAAGAACTCTGAGATGTGATTTGATAATTGTTCTAGGCGACGTTGGTTCGTGATGTCTCGATATTAAAGCTAGGAAGTCGTAGTGCGACAGGTGAGTGAGTCTTTTCCTTTCTATCGTATATATACACATGATTGATAATTCCACAGATATTTTAAGTTGACTTATGCATATTACCTACATATAATTACTGTGAATGCTTTGAAGTACTACTGCGAACTACGAATGGCTTAATCCCTGTTTAGGGTACTTAGGCAGTCTAACGAGATGTTAGATGCATCCATACAATAAATGAGACCAAATAATTGAGACAATAGCTTTGTTTGGGGAATTGAGCAATATGAGGGACATTGGTGGAAAATGTGAGATTTAACCTTATGTTTTGGTGGTTAAATGTTGGTCATAAATTAATGTGTGAAGAATCAAGAAATTGAAGTAAGGGTACGTAAGTAATGATAGTTAAAGTGCCTAATTGGGTTTATCACCGATAATTATTCCCGACGATAATAGTTCGGGAGTAAGGCGTTATAGCATATGCATTTTATGCCATATTATGTATATGTATATACTTGAAAATGTTATGACATGGTTGAGTATTAGATTGCATCATGGTATATCCATATGTATATTACCTGCACATAATTATTGTGAACGCTTTGAAGTGCAAAGGTGAACACAGGACACCCAGGTAAGTTCAGGTGAGTTTATGGTATTAGTTGGAATGATGGAGTTATGGCATGACTACATGTATATTTTAGGCAACTCCGACTTTGTCGTACATGTTGTAATAATAGGCAACTCCGACACTGTCATACAGGTTGCCCATGAGTCATATATGTTATAATAGATGCAGTTGAGCTCATAAACCTGCACCGTGGTGTTAGTGCTCCTGCCTATGGCCAAGGCACAATCTTTCACGTGATGCTCACCTCTTGCACTTTACGCTCACCTTGGATCCAAGGTAGGTGCACAGTCCTGTCACATGGACCACTATAGGTGGTTCCGACTTGTAGGTGACCTGCGATTAGTCGCACAGTCTTCACGTGATCGTAGCACTTGAGCGTACTTATTTACACCCAGTCCTGTTGTACAGACCACTAGAGGTGGTTTTGACTCGTGTGCAGGGATATGTGATGAGCGATGAGTTCAGCGTACAGGCCACAAGAGGTGGATCCGGCTGTCATATTATTTGGATATTGGATGAGCTATGGGTTCAGTTGTACATGCCACAATAGGTGGATTCGGCTAACATATTACTTCCATGGAATTATTTCACTTGGTTTACTTATTTCATTATGTTGAGATGTTGGGCATGGCATACATGTGAATTTTGCTATTCTGAGTATAGTTTCGATATCGATATGTATTCTATTTTCTGAGAAATTATTTAAGTTTTACGGCGAATGGTTATTACTTTTGTTAAGTGTAATGGTTTTGAAGAGCTTGTTTTCGCCCACTCACATTTTATGTTTTGCGCCCCTCCAGGTTTTAGTAGCAAAATTTCCGTATCGACGAGGATTCGTGACACTTCTCAGTACATGTGGCTTCTTATGATGGTATAACCATTATTTTTATTTTGCTGTACTTTACTTATGCTTTGTATCACGTGTGAATGGGTCCATAACCACTCACCGAGCACTCGTTTAGTGAGGCACTTTTAGGTTTTAAATTTATTCATAGTTTACGCATTATCACACTTTATGGCTTCGTCACCTTCCAGGCATCACTCAACAACACAACTCGATTTGGAGTTTTAGTGGACATTCCGGGTCGGAGTGTGTCAAAAATGGTACATTTTACATATAACAAATTGATATATTTAAGAATGGGTACATTTTAAGATTAAAACTTGAAAAATAATTACATGAATGGGTGCATAAAAGATTAAAAGTTGAAAACATTTTATAAAAAAGCTAATGGGTGCAATTATTAATTTTGGAAATGTTTTGAATGTACCCATTAGTTTTTTTATAAAATGTTTTCAATTGAAAATTCAATTACCGTGCAAACTTATTCTAATTTATTTATTTTAGAAATGCTTTGAATTGAAAATTAGTTAGGAGTTTAATAAAGTTGTGAGTATTAAAATTCTAAATCAATTATTAATTTTTATTTAAAAAAAGTTATCATTGCGTAACTTGGATTAAAATCTTATACTCTACAAACCAAACCCCAAATAAACCCAGACAGAGCAGAGAGAGAAGCCGCAAAAATGGGGAAGAAGGAGCAGTTAGCAGAGCTACTCGGAACCCTAGGAGACTTCACCAGCAAAGAGAACTGGGACAAGTTCTTCACCATTCGCGGCACCGACGACTCCTTCGAGTGGTACGCCGAGTGGTCCGAGCTCAGAGATCCTTTGCTCTCCCACCTCCCTCCCCAACCCCAAATTCTCGTCCCCGGCTGCGGCAGCTCCCGCCTCTCCGAACACCTCTACGACGCCGGCTTCACTTCCATCACCAACATTGACTTCTCCAAGGTCGCCATTTCGGACTGCCTCCGCCGCAATGTTCGCCACCGCCCCGACATGCGTTGGCGCGTCATGGACATGACCGCCATGCAGGTAATACTCACGCAATTTTAACTCTTTTTAACTCAATCGTCATCGAATGATTTGAATGATCGGATTATCGTTGCGAAATTTACAGTTTTCGGAGGAGGCATTTGATGTTGTAGTTGACAAAGGTGGATTGGATGCCTTAATGGAACCAGAGATGGGGCCTAAGCTTGGGGATCAGTATTTATCAGAGGTTCCTTGGAATTATTTTCATATTTAATTTTATGTTGTCAATAACTTAGTTTCATTCGTAATCGGAAAATGTTTGTTGAGTGGCATTGTATTGGTATTTTCCAGGTGAGAAGAGTTTTGAAGTGTGGGGGGAAATTTGTTTGCCTTACACTGGCAGAGTCACATGTTTTAGGTATTACTTAATTGCTTTCGGTTCTGCATTAGGTATATTTAAGTAAAATTCTTAACTCTTAATTATCTTGTGGTACTGCAACTCCAGCTTTGCTTTTCTCGAAGTACCGGTTTGGGTGGAAAATGGGTATTGATGCCATACCTCAGAAACCGTCTGGTAAGCCAAGCCTTCAAGCATATATGGTGGTTGCTGAGAAAGAGGTTTCCAGCGTGTTGCAGGATGTCACAATATCTTTCAATAAGTCTTCTTTTGCTTGTAGGGGAAGTCAGGTAAAATACCCGACCTACATGCCTTATTTACCCATAATTCTTGCACAATAAAGGTTACAACTGAATAACTAGTTGGTAGTAGGGAGTGCAATTTGCAATCTTTCTTCTATGGTGTAAGCTTGGTTTCATAAATTGGTAATCCAGTTTCTCGAAAGATTGACAGAAGCTTTTTGTTGTGGATTAGGCTTCTGGACTTCTTGAAGCTGTTGATAAGGAGAACCAAATTCGTAGAGAATACTTCCTTGGTTCGGATGTATTGTACTCTCTTGAAGAGTTAAATCTTGGAGCTAGAGGGGATTTGACTAAACTTTCCCCAGGCAGTCGTTTTCAGCTTAATTTGGGCGGTGGATCCCGTTTCAGTTACAGAGCTGTAGTTCTTGATTCTCAGGAATCATCTGGTCCATTTGCGTATCATTGTGGGGTTTTTATTGTGCCTAAGGTTTGTATTTGTGAACTTCTCTGGTTATTGCACATTTGCACTGTATTGTACCATAGTGCACTTGCACACATAAATGTAATGAAAATTTTGAACCAAATAGAGTTATTTTGACCCAAGTCTTCTGCAACCCTTTAATGGAAAAGCAAAATGGAAGCATAATAACTTGTCAAACTACATATGCTGCATGTATAATGTTACCTGACTTTTATGAAATGGGTTTGTCTCATGAAACCACAGTTGATACTAGTCCTGACCGTTACATGCTTGTTATTCTGGCAATGCATCTTGCTTTCAGTTGGCTGTAGCGTTGTGCCATCCAAGTATCCAACATTGGGTCTATCTTTCATCCATCACCTTGCCTGGTTTGTTAAGAAATTAAGAGACATATCTCCATGAAAACATCTCTTTCGCTCTCTCAGGTCTCCAGTAACTAAGATAAATGTTTTAGGATATTGTATGATGTGCATTAAGGATTGTTTGTACAGTGGGCTATTCATATCGAGTTCTGCCATATTTTGGGAAAATGTGTAGCTATAAGGTATATTGAAACACACTTTCACTTATTAGTTGTCATGTTCTTTTTGAAAAAAAAGAATAGAGAGGAAGAAGTTGACAAACAGAGTCAATTTTATATGCTTGCGGGGCTCAAATCTACGGGAACATCATAACAATTTTACGATTATATCGTGTGTAATTCATCTCCAATCTAATATTTTCTCTGTATTCTTAGTTTGTCTATTAGTTCCTGTTAAATAAATAAGTAAATTTATATTTCAGACTCGGGCTCATGAATGGCTATTCTCCTCTGAGGAAGGACAATGGATGGTAGTAGAAAGCTCTAAGGCAGCTCGTCTAGTAATGGTACAATTTCATCAAAGTCAAAAAGTCTTTGTGGTCCTCATTTTGGAGGTTATTCTTTTTGTTGCTATTCTAAACCTGATTTATATGTTGAATTAAGATTTTATTAGATGCCAGCCATGTTAGTGCCAGCATGGATGACATTCAGGTAATGCTTATTTGTCTTAATCTTTTGATGTGGCATTCTCAATTCTGACAGTTTAACCCTATTAATTATGGTTATTTACTATCTTATTTTGGTCTCCCTTTCAGAAGGATTTATCTCCCTTGGTTAAACAATTGGCGCCTGGAAAAGATGACAATGGAGCCCAGATTCCGTATGTATTCGCATCGCTTCTTTTTGTTTTATATTCCAGAACGCCAACTTAATATATATCTAAGTAATATGTATAGTTTTTGGAGATGAAATGACCTGATAAAATAACATAGTTATCATCATTATTCTTGCTGTGATTTTTTCTTGTGTGCGCCTATCAATAAAATACCCCACAGATTGGTTGTTGGAGCAAACAACTAGGACACTATTCTAAGGATGCTAATACTATACTTTGAAGCACATTATAGAACTTTGGTACCTTGATGTTTTCCAAGTTGTCATGATGCAAATACTCATTACATGCCAAAGATCATTTCTAGTATTATTAGCAACGATATATGGGTCCCAACTGCAAAAATATTAAGGTTTTTGTTTCGAAGCTGCTATTATAGGATCACTGTTACCCCCATTTCAGAATTATCAATACTTATACTCAGACAGAGGTTGTCAGTTTTAAATCGTTTGATCTAGTACAAAACTAAGAACAATTGGTCCTGTCCTGACTCAATGTCATCAGTAGGGTTGACTGTTGACTTTGTGACTTGTCTAATATGACTTACACATTAATAACGAATTGCTTTTATGTTTTCAGTTCCCTCTGGTCTTGTGGTATTGCAACTACAAAATTTTATGATAATATGTCTGTACTCTATGGCTCAGGCAGTTATATGTTTCTTATACGTTTGTATTGGCTGGTTGCTTTTGCAGATTCATGATGGCAAGTGATGGGATCAAGCAACGAGATATTGTTCACCAGGTTTTTTTTCTTTTCTTTTCTTTTTTTTTTTTTAACTACGAGGACGTTGATTTTACTTGTTTACAATTGGAAAAGGTTGGTGGAAATTATTAAGCAAATGCCATTACTTCTTCTTCTATTCGTAATGCAATGGAATATAAATTATGTAGATACCAGTTGAAGTATGTAGATACTAGTTGAAGTGTTACCAAATAGTCGAAATTTAGTATATAAGCATAGTTTAACAAAGTTCCACAGAATTTAACATAGTTTTCTTAAATTTCTAGAGCTTATGGTCACCTTCACCTACATAAGATTTTGTGACTGTCTAAAGTACCTTTAGGCTTGACAGTGCTTGTTCCCTAGATAACAAGATAGTGACTCGTATTTATGTGGTAGCTTTAAACTCTGCAGTAGCCTTCGATGCCCCTATATCCTGAGTTTAGTGGTGTTTGAGCTTTGGGACTCCATAGTTTGTCTGACTTGTTGACTTGGCTGTGATTGCCCTGAGTTTGGTGGTGCTTGAGCTTTGGGACTCCATAGTATGTCTGACTTGAAAGGGACAGTGGAGTCTTCAAACATATAAACATGGCACACTTCTTTAGCTTCTTACAACTAGAACTTGCCCAGAATAAGCTCCAGTCAAAGTTCCTTATAAAGTAGGTCATAGGAAGCAACAACAAAGCATAGTCAGAGGTGCAAGGAAAACTTAAATTTCATAGTTGAATTGCTCAAATTTGTGTTTCTTATGTGATGAAACTTGTTTAAACTATCTCATCCAGGCACGAAGCGATTGAAACATTGAGAAGGCTTTCCCTCACTAAGCCTGGCTAACTGAGATCATTTAGAAAATGTTCTCAGTTTGGTGTTACCCTTGGCCTAGCCCATTCGCTCCCCAATTGAGGCCCACCCACTAGTCCCCAGTACCTAGGTTCACCCCACCCCAACTTTGTAGGCTTGCTCCGTTCCTGATCCCGTACTTTGACTGCTGGTTGCCCCTAAATCATACAATAATACGATTCTTATAAGGTTATAATAGTTATTTCAAAATAAGGTTTGGATCCATTGTCAATGTTCTGAAAAATGGATGTTGTGAAATTTATTATGAATTTCTTCATATCACACTATTCTTTATCAGCCTTTGTGTATGAGATGGATACCAATCTTCTCATGTCCTTTAGTAAATGAAAACATGTTTCGCTTGCATGCATCTGCAGGTCACATCAACAATAACTGGCCCAATTATAGTTGAGGACGTGATTTATGAAACTGTTGATGGTGATATCAGTCGCATTCTACCATCCAGAGAGTTGACATTTCGTCGCCTTGTTTTCCAAAGAAGTGAGGGTTTGGTTCAGTCTGAAGCTCTTCTATCAGAGGAAGGATCTAACAGTAAAGTTGTTGGTGAGACAGAGAGAAAAAAGACAAATTCATCTTCCCGATCTAAAAGAAAAGGAATCCAGAAAAGAAGTGGTGGTATTGAATCTATTGATCTGTGTCTTTGCCAATATAATTTGAATTGAGTTTCCCTCCTGCTGGTTTGTTTTGCTTCAATCATGAAATTTATATCTGTTCTAATATTAGTATCTTCTTAATTGTCTATTGATGGAACATGAAAAAGCCTTATGCTGATTAGACAAAACCTTCTGAAAAACCTACCTGCATGAATTTTCACTTCTTCTGACAAACCATTCTGAAAAACCTACCTCATGTTCAAAAGAATGTAGTATAATTCTTCTCAAAAACTAAATAGCATAGTGAATATACATGCATGTTGGAAACTTTTAAAAGTATCACTGCACCTGGTACTGGTGGGCTTGACACACGGAGTTGTAATCATCAAATTATTCTATTGTCATTGTTTTACCTATTGTAGTTTTGTAACTCTTTATCGTGTTCCATCAGCCTAATTGAAGATATCATTGTTTCTGCTGGTGTCCATTTTATCCTTTGCATTTTACTCATTCAGTTTACTTAATTTCGTTATTTTTAATTTGAAGAAACAAGCCACCAGCTGAAGGTCTATCATGGATATTTGGCTAGTTCTTACCATACAGGGATTATTTCTGGATTAATGTTGATCTCTTCTTATTTGGAAGGCATGGCATCAGCTCACAAATCAGTAAGCATTTTATTTCTGACTATCTTTCAGTAAAAAGGTCTTGCTTGATGGCAAAAAAAATGGATCGGCTTCTGGTTGCTTTATATTCAAAATGTGATTAAATAAAAAAGCTATTTTAATTTCCTCCTTAGCACCCTTCTAAATTCACCTTTCCTCCTTAGCACCCTTTTAAGAATGTCACCTTTAGGAGTAATTTGAATGAGGAGCTCATACAGGTAATTTTTCATCTCGGATTAGTAAAGTTTTGTTTAACTTCAATCCAGTCCGAGAAAAGAGTTAGTCTTCTAATACCCGATGATCATGTTTTAATTTCTTTGTGTTATAGTATTTTTTTTAAATGAAGTTTTTATTTTCTATAACATAAATTGAAAACTGTCAATCGTGTTCTGACTGTAGAAACATTTATATAAGCGTGGTGTTAGGCTTTAGTTTAATGAGGGCAAATTTTTATGTTCATCTATTAAATGTACCCATGCACACTGCTATATGCATTCTCAGGTTAAAGCAGTTGTAATTGGTCTTGGAGCAGGTTTACTTCCTATGTTCCTTAACAGATGTCTGCCCTTTGTGCACACTGAGGTAATTTTACACTTAAACCATCTCCCAGAAGAAAAATAAAAATTTCAGAGTTTCGATATCGTCTTTGGTGATAAAACTCATTTAGTGCAAATGCGGTAATCACTTATTATTTGTACAGGTGGTGGAGTTGGACCCTGTAGTCCTCAAACTTGCAAAAGAATACTTTGGTTTTGTTGAAGATGATTGCTTACAGGTAGTTCACTGTACATCATGCTTCTATTTGAACACCCTATGGCACCTGCGCCCCCGCCACCCTATTGTTGCCCTCAACGCTCAACTAATCACTGCTAATTTCTTTATTTTATTTTTTCATTTGAAGTTTGTTTTTAATAATATGTCTGTTATAGTGATTTTCAAGAAGGTAAATTTCCATTAAAATCTGGGTGGGGAAGTAAATCTTTTGGGCTTGGAGATCACCTTTTTTAAAAATTTCGTATGCTTCTTTATGCTTGATTGCTGGACTTGATAATGAATTTACAGTTTAGTGTAAAGCGCTTTAGTTGCATGTCAGTTTCAAATTATTCTCTGTACAATCTTTGTGATAGTGTGTAAGAGTAAAACACTGACATAAGTGAATTGACGACGATTGAGGAGAGAAGCATATCAGTTAAGATGGACAAAAGATTGGAAAAACATCTCTCTTTAAGTTTGGTGTTCTTTTGTTTCCTTGTTTTGGATTACACATTGAGAAAGCACTTAGACGCAAACATAGCTCCTGGACATGTACACATCCTGTAAATGAAATTATACTTTGTTATCCTTCGTATCTTGAAGTTGTATTGTACCCAATATGTATCACTTCTTAGATTTATTTTGGTGTATCAGGCGCACGTTGCTGATGGGATTCAGTTTGTTAGAAATATTGCAAATTCTGCTGCTTCTGATGAAACTTCTCTTGTTCAAGACGAGAAGGATGCTCAATGCAACACTTCTTCCAATGGTGATTTCGAAAGCAAGGTGATTTCAAAGGTTGACATACTTGTTATTGATGTGGATTCGGCAGACTCAAGGTGAATTCAGACTGCACCTATTTTGCAAGTAAATGTATCCATATAAAAAGCAATCTGATGTTAAAGCCATCAAATTCTAATAAGTTTCATTTGTCATTTACAGCTCTGGGATGACCTGTCCTGCAGCGGATTTCGTGGACGAATCATTTCTTCAGACTGTAAAGGATGCACTTTCTGAGAAAGGTCTATTTATTATTAATTTGGTATCACGGTCGCAAGCCATAAAAGACACTGTTATTTCGAGGATGAAGGTGGTAAGAATAGGAAACTAATTTTAGTTATTGTTCATATAAAAATTCTCTTATCTCTTGTATGCAGGAGATTTGTCCTACCAATACATGTAGGCTTTAAAAGTCCTTTTTCAACTCACTTGAATTAAAAGAAAAGATTTCAGTCTGACACTGTAGGATTAGGATGGTGAAAAAAGATTGGCTCTGGTAGTTTTTCTGCTAAATCAAGTTGGCTTGAAGGCTCTCGGTTTAATAATGCAGTGTTAATTTCAGTAAATCGTATTCCTGTTAGGTTGTCCACATGATAATGTGCTTGAATGGTATTCATGTATTTCTGATCTGCAATTTAATTTTGTTCTTCAGGTGTTTAGCCATCTCTTCTCCCTTCAGCTTGAAGAAGACGTCAATGAAGTAATCTTCGGTCTTTGCTCAGCTTCTTGTATCGAGGAGGTTTCCTTCCCTGAAGCCGCTCTTCAACTTGAGAAATTACTAAAACTGGAACACACGGAGATAAGCCAAAGCATTATAAATACTACGAAGAAGTTGAGACATTTGAAGTGACTCCAATTGATTGAAGTTTTCAGAGATGATGCCTCTAAATCATGTCATTGGCGCCCGCAACTCAACCACTTGTAAGAAGAGTCTTCAGGTTCAATTAATATTGCGAGAGGATACTCGTTAAGAATGCGTGCTGGAGCCGCGGATTGGTTCTCTTGTTCAGCTACTTGAATGCTTGTCTGGGTTACTCTGCCATCGAGATCTTGTGAGAATGATCTGTGTTGTCCGTACGAAAGTCACAAAATTATTGAGAAAAATTGGTTACAATTACAAAGACAAGACTAGTGCAATGAAACGAGATATCTAGATTGTTCCAATGTTGCTACATATATTTTCGTTCAAAGCCGGCTTCAATATAATGTTATCTTTCGTTAAAACCTCGAAGTTGATATATGACAAATTGGCAGAAATACATTTTTGCAATCGGTAAATGTGGTACAAACAACGATATTGACTCTTTCCTTGTACATAAGCAGTCTTGTCGCACTCAAGTTTGTTGACCCCTCTTTGAATCAATGCTGGCAAATCTCTAGGTATACAAAACTCAACATTATCTTTAATAACCTTTCTTTTATTTAAACATTTTTCATTATTTAAATTGAATGGGGAAGGGTTATCGAAAAAAGGCTAAAATCAATATCGGGCTAAAATTTTAAGTCATGCCTATAGAATGATAGAAGCTGTTTTTCGATTATGGTAATAATGTATTATATTTATATTGAGTTTTATATTTTGAGGTTGACCCATTGTGCGGCCTAACTGAATTATGCACATAATAGAATATCGTTGTTTAAAAAGAAAAGAAAAAAATAATTTTCCAACAATACTATTTTTACTTCTATATTTCTTTCAAATTTATTGCATTCATATTGCATACGATATACATTCTTTTATATATATTTTTTAAATTCCATATTCATTATATGCATACTATATACATTTTTCCCCCTTAGTAGAATGCAAAACATAGTCCAAGATCCAAAAATAATTAGATGGAATGTAATCATAAAATAAAAGGAAAACTAATGGAAATGACTTGAAAATTTTGTGTTTTAATCAAAATGACAAAAAAGTACTGTAAATTAATAGTACCATGAGTGACTTTTTAAAGTTAAAATGTCATTTTTCGTTAAAATAAAAAGTAAATGTCTCGTTAAAACTTCCTAAATAAAACTTCCAATAAAAAAAATTACTAAAATAAATAAATATAATTGTCAAACTCGTAATTCGCTAAAAGAAAAAAAATCACAGCAACCTCCGGTTCACACTCACCGACCGCGAACTCGATTCGTACTCGGCCCATCTGCATTTGACTTTTTCCAAATAAAACTCCGGAAGAGAAAAAGGAAAGCAAAAGCCACTCATCAGACTTAATTTCTTTCTCTCTACAAAAACAAACAACAATTTGGAATTGGATTTTCCAGGAAATCGCTTAACATAACAGTGCTTCTTGATTTGTCTTAATCGCACAAGCAGAAATTCGGAAACAAAAAGGAAAGACAAAATAAAAAAATAAGGAGAGTAAGAAAGATACATCGAACTTTCTCGGCGTTGTTGTATTTTGTCCCCATTTCCTCGCCGTTCTTATCCTTCTCTGCTTCGGCTTCTCTGTCTATATAAATCGATTTGGTTGCGTGAGAAAAACATTTCTGTTCTGCCCCTTTCGTTGTTCTGCTCCTCTCGCCGGTAAAGGTACGATTTTTATTTATTTTTTATTTTGTTTGAAGTATTTTCTTGGGTTGAATCTTGATATTCTTGATGGATGATTTCTGGGTTTTGGGTTTTTTGTTGTTTTGATTCATGGGTATTTATTTTTCCAATTTGTACATAACATGTACATGTGTTTAGAACTCTGTATGCATGTATATATGTATGTATGTGTCTGTGCATATATATAGGTGGATATTGTATCACTATTGTTTGATCGAATTGGAAGGATCGTTTTGCATTTGAAGCCAGATTGATTTAACCACTTAAGCAACAAGGGGTTATTTGTTTCTGGTGGCACTAGGTTAATGGACTAATTTTGTTGTAAAAGGGCCTGTTATTGGATCTTGTATTGTAATAATGAGGGTTTTCTATATCGCAATTTAATTAAATTAAAGAGAAAAACCCCTTTCTCGCATACAAAAGAACAGAAAAGCGTTCCTAGCAGTGCCAGGAATCAATTTATCCCAAAAGATTCTGTAACGTCATGACCCTAAGTTGGTAATAGCATTTCCCGGTAAACATGGTTCCAAGAGATGCGTTGAAACTGTCGATGTAGAAATCTGATATCGTAAATCACTGTTTTTGGAATGAGGTTTTGTTTTAAGGTAGCTCCGTTTCATTGGGTGGTGTAGGTGTCTTTCAGATTTTGTGTTTGATTTGGATGATTGGATCTAATTAGAATTTGCAAAGTGGAAAATGTATTTAAAAGTCGAGACCATAGACTGATGCTCGTTTACACATTGATGTTCTCCCATATGTAAAGGAACACGTTACACTTAATAACTTTTTTAGCATGCTGTCTTACAGTCTTACTTTATGATGTGGCTGCTTACATGACTTGTCTCACGTTTTACTCACACCCATCTGTTCTTTGTATGTGTAGCACATAGCGCGGATCCATTTCTGCAGAAGCATGGCCTCACACTCATTGGGGCAATCTACAGAAGGGAAAATGAGGAATTCTCAAAGGGGGAAGATGCCACTAATTGTGGACCTCAACTATCCAGCTCCTTCTGAGGACACGGTTCTAAATGCCAGATGTTCTTGGGACAATAGTCAACAAGTTCAGGATGAAATACATGGTCGGTCAGAAGCACAAGCTTCAAATGATTGTGAGGTTGTCGATGATGAAGTGGTCATAATTTCCCCAAGGGTATATGCTCAAGTATGAGTTTTGGATTTCTTCTATGATTCATTTCTTTATATCTTGCATTATTTCTTTACGAGCATACTTATTGATTCTTTTTCCTGCTACCAGGCCAAGAATAACTCCAGGAGAAACCTTGAGGTGAGAGATGGGCCTGCTACAAACACTGAAAGGCAAAATGGCCATACAGGTTAGGTTTCAAAGTGTCTTTTATTCTTAAATCATGCTTTTATACGGTTTGATTTGAGTAGAATTGATTATTTTTTTACACGTTTAGAAGATCCCCTTGTATGTGTGTGTCGTATTGTCCATAAACAAGAATTGTTGTGCTTTGAACCATGAATTTTCTTGTCTTTGTTTGCCTGTGATTGTGTGGCAACCTGATTTCCTCAAACATTAGTAATTTCTGTTAGTTCATCTAAAATCCAGTTTACTGAAGTTGTTTTTGATGTATATAGTAAGCTTTTGAAGATCCATTACTCTGCCATTATTCTGTATCTAAGCAATTCAGTATACCTTATTTTGCATTCTGATGCTTTTGGTTCTAATTTCTCAAGTTCGTTTCGTTTGACATCATCCATTCATGCTTTATGGTTCACTAGTTTTGAAATGGAATGGGGTAAAGAACAGATGAATTTTAGGAGTATAAATGAGTAAAGGATCGTCAACAAGGGCGTTCTGGTGCATTTTAGATTCTTATCCAAGACTTGTATCATTGTTTTTATGAACAGTTACACCACATAGAAAGCAATTAAATTTGGGTGTGCAGTTTTTTCCCCTCCTGGTTCACACATGATCTATTTAATTTTCATCAATATTTGAAGTAATTATTTCAAAGTGAACTTAGTGATTCTTGTGATTGTTTACATCAAAACCCTGAACCTTATCTGATACTTGTGATTCTCTGTTAAATTTTTAATTTATTAGTGCCACTTTTTAAAAGGCATATCCTTTACACGCGCGCGTGCGCGCACACACACTTGTGTAATAAAGGAGGTCTTGAGCCTTGCTTTATTCTGCTCTGTTAAAGTTTTTTTGGGCATCTCCATTACTTGAAGTCTCTTACATTTTCATATTTAATCATCAGATGTGCCACCTCAGTTACCTCTACCTCTACTTCCTCTTCATTGCCACAAGCGTAGAAGAACTTTACGAAATCAAGCAGTTTTGAATTGGGAGCATCATTTTAGCTTGGAAGACAATGACGAAAACAAGGTGATACGACAGTTTCCTTTCATGATATATCCTCATGTGGGAATTTATGTTTTTAATCTTTTTTCATTGGTGTTCTCATAAAAAAGTTGTCTAAATTTGTGTCACTATCTTCCTTTGTTCTTTGTTTTGTTTGTTGTTAGGTTGTTTTCTAGATATCTCTAAACTAACAGATATTTGTATGAAGTATAGAGCTCTGTTTATCAATTTGAGCATGATACTGAAAATATCCTTGGAAAATAAATTTTGGATAGAAGCTTGGGGGTGCTTCAGTTTTAAAACTGTAGTGATGACACAATCCTTAACGTAAATTTCAAAATAATTAGTCTTTAGAAAGTGTTAGAAGGCCTCATGATTCACTATTTTACTGAAGCGGAAGGTGTTAAAATTTGTTAGTAAATGTTCTTCGGAAAGTGTTAGTGAATAACCTCTAGAAAGTGTTAGAAAGAGTCAAGTTCTGTAGAAGTTCTACTTTTGATTAATTGGTTTCATGTGACCACTTATCCACACAAAGCTTGGTGAGTTGTTCAATAATTATAATGACAAACTCTGAGTTTAATAAAATTATCAGCCTTCATCAAGTTGCTAATTGTTTGTCAAAGTTTTATTGCTAAATCGATGAAGTTTTCTGCTGCAGATAAAGGAAGTGTCTATTCCAGAACTTCCTGAGAACACGCCACCCCCAGAGACACCATCCTTCAGCTGCCCAATATGCTTGGGCCCGTTGAGTGAAGAAACCTCAACAAAGTGTGGTCACATCTTCTGCAAGATGTGTATTGAAGCCTCAATAAAAGTTCAGCACAAATGCCCAACTTGTCGTAAAAGGCTTAGAAAGAAAGACACCATCAGGATATACCTGCCCACCAAATGATTGCGGGGTACATTTCTTTCTTTAACGAAGCTGATTATTATTCTGATCTTTTAACTTCGAATAGATGATTTTGTTGTAAAACACTTGGCGAACCTTATTTTTCAAATTTAGGGTTCTTTATGAGCAATTATGTTAAGCCATAGGCAGAAAATGAGGAAAGCCTTCCCCCTTCGTGGTTGTATTTGCATATTTGTCGGAGATGCTTGATCGTACGCTCCTAATTTTCATCTAGTATGGCTAATTGATTCCTCCCCGTTTCATGCAGGTGGCTAGGTATCACAGGGAAAGGGCAGTTTTGGTGAAGCTTGCACAACATCTATTGATTTTCCTGTACCCTATTAGGTTTGTCATTTCCTATGGGTCTTCTTCTTGTATTGGGGCTGCCTAGTTCTAGAATTTACAGGTTAACTAGCTCAGGCATATGTAAAGTTCAGACACTCTCACATCTGCGAAAACTGTAGTGCCGGGCTTCGTCGAAATAGTTCCTTCATGACCCTATTTTTTTGGTATTCGGTTAGCAGACGGCAGGCAGCACTGTACTGAACCATAATAGCAAGGAAATGTGTTGTCGACGCGGTGCTGCTTCTTGCTGTCTCTGTATTGGATTATAATTGGACACTGCTATTTTTTCCATTATGTTTTGTTTCGTCCATGTGCCTGATTTATTTGTTTCAAGGTTATGATTTTCGCAGTCTTTTAGCCACTAGCACTCCAAATTCCGTTTGGTCGCTGTTTTTTTTTTTTGTAACTAAATTGATCCCTGTGTTTACACAAGTCCTTGCGTTTAGAAAATGCTCGTGATACGCAAGTGCAGGAGCAACTATTCTTTTCGTTTTTTACTTCAAACCATGTGGCACCATCTGATTGGACGTGGGGCCCGAATACTTGTGCCACATCATGCCCAATCGAGCTACGTGACTGAACATTTAAACTCTATGCTAAAGAACTTGAGACAAAATGAAACAAAAATCGAATTTGAGAGGTAAGTTACAAAATTTAAATTTCTAAGGAGAAAATAAGAATAAATCGAGTTCTAGAGACATGATAAATAAACCGTATTATAATTTTATAATTTACCAATCTCAAATATTTTCTTTATTTTTGTTATAAAAATGGATGACTCACATGAAGAAATATGCAACACCCATCACTTTTTAATAGCCAACAAATGTTGAAGCTGTGTTGCCTACGTTCATATCTATTGGCATTAACATAGAAGATATAGTGTTCATATGTAAAGGCTTATCAGCTGACAAATATACAGATAGAGAGTAGAGAAGAAAGTACACAATCTCGTTTCCCTTGCTTTGTAAATCCATTTGATAATAAGAAAGATTACTACTGATCGTCCGATGACGTAGGCATACTTGTTGAACTTTGTAAATCTTACGTCTTATCTACTTTATATTCCACTGCACACATACAGGTGATTCACAACAATTTTCTCATTTTTGGACAATTTTTTATAAGGTATTCTTATTCACACAGTACTCAATTTTCTACCGAATCAAATGAATTTAGTAACATAGTAACAAAGGTGTTTGGGGAGGGAGAAAATTTGAATGTCGGGAACCAGCATTAGCAGCAAGATCAACCCTTTCCACGGCGGCGACGGCATCTTCATCCTCCTCTCTCTGTTTCACAAACACACCACCCTTCACCATTTGAAGCAAATTCACTCCGTCCTCGTCACCTCTGGCCTCTCACACAACTCTTTCTTCCTCGACCAACTTGTGACTACCATTGCAGCATCTCAGCCTACCCATCTCGCCTACGCTTCGCTACTCGTCGACCGCATCGAAGCACCCGTCACTCACCTATGGAACTCCATCATCAGAGCATTCTCTGCGAGTTCACAGCCTCGGAGGTCACTCCTTTTTTACTCAAAAATGCGCACGACTGGCGTTGCTCCGGACAAGCACACCTTCCCTTTGCTTCTCAAGTCATTTTCCAAGTTGAAAAACGAAAACCCATTTCAGTTTTACGCTCACATAGTCAAGTTTGGATTGAGTTCTGACCAATTTGTGAAGAATTCGTTGATATCTGTGTTTTCTGGTTGTGGGTGCTTAGAGTCTGCCTGCCAGGTGTTTGATGAAAGTACCCAGAAGGATGTGATTTCTTGGACTGCATTGATTGACGGGTATGTCAAAAATGATCGGGCTGTGGAAGCAATGAAGTGTTTTATGGAGATGAGATTGATGGGAATTAGAGTCGATGAGGTGACGATTGTTAGTGTTCTTTGTGCTGCCGGAATGGCTGGCGATATTTGGTTGGGACGCTGGCTTCATGGGTTCTATGTAGAAACAGGTAGAGTACAATGGGATGTCTACATTGGTAGCGCTCTTCTGGATATGTACATGAAGTGCGGCTACCATGACGATGCTCGTAAAGTTTTTAAAGAATTGCCAATTAAAAATGTAGTTTCTTGGAGTGCTTTGATAGCAGGTTATGTGCAATGTAAGAGATACAAAGATGCATTGCTAGTTTTGAAATACATGCTTTCAGAACATGTTAAACCTAACCAATTTACATTGACAAGTGTGCTTACCTCTTGTGCTGACTTAGGGGCACTGGATCAAGGAAGGTCGGTTCACGGTTATATATATAGGCATAAAATACAAGTGAACTCATTACTTGGAACGGCATTAGTAGACATGTACGCAAAATGTGGGTGCCTTGGTGAAGGTCTATCTGTTTTCCAAAAGTTGCCAACCAAGGATGTCTTTGCTTGGACTGCCGTAATTAGTGGTTTGGCAATGGGTGGTAATGCTTTAGACGCATTGAACTTCTTCTCGCGTATGTTACAGAGTGCTGTTCTACCTAATGAAGTTACTTTCATCGCTGTGCTTAGTGCTTGTTCTCATGGAGGTCTTGTAGACAAGGGATGTAAGCTTTTTGAATCGATGAAGGAGGTTTTTCATTTGGAGCCTAATGTAAATCACTACGGTTGCATGGTTGATTTACTTGGTAGGGCTGGGTACTTGGAGGAAGCACTAAAAGTTATCGAGGACATGCCAATGGTGCCTTCAGCTGGTGTATGGGGAGCTCTGCTCGGTGCCTGTATGATTCATAAGAATTTTAAACTAGGAGAACTTGTCGGAAATCATCTGATCAATCTACAGTCTGATCATAGCGGAAGATATGTACTTCTGGCAAACTTGTATTCGACATGGAATAAATGGGAAGCAGCTTCTGGCATAAGGAAGCTCATGAAAGGGAAACGCGTCGAGAAGATAACAGGGTGTAGCTGGATCGAAGTGAATGGTGCAGTTTTCGAGTTTACTGCATTCGACGAATCGCATTCTGAATCGGATGATATATATGTGATGTTGGACAACATGTTCTTCCAACTGAAACGGGCTGGTTATGTTCCAGATGCTAACCTATTTGGGTTTGACATTGATTAAAGTTGACGAGGGTGATCACTGGTCAGATTTGAACTTTTATTGCAGTCATAATTCAGTGCGAGTTTGATAAGATAAAAGAAAAGAAAAACTAAGGATAAAATCCCTAATACTAATTAAGATTACTAATTGAGGAGCAAAAATGCATGTGCGGGTTTTAAAGACCATTTAAGATGATTCTATTGCTTGAATACATGTAGTTTCATATTCAATTTAACCAAATAACGTTAAAACTATTTAAAATTCAATTTTATACACCATTATCATCCAAAAGATGAACCAAATAGCGTCGGACACATTTCTAAAGCTTCAATCATGCAAAGTTGAAATTAAATTACAAAACAATACCAAAGTTTTAACCAAAAGAAATGTAACAACATTACCATTCATTGTTCAAATGAAAACCCGACAAATTCAAGTATAGCCCTCACAAACTTGTACCTAGCTTATATAATATGAAATGGGACGAGTAATATGTCCTTGAGCAATTCGGGCTAGAAATCAGTTGAGTTTAAGTTGAAATTGGTGGGCAAAGCATCAACCCGATCGAACCAATACATCATTGTGTTGAAGTCAGTTTAGATTTGGACAGATTTTTACTTTATTCTAACTAGCCAGGTTGGGTTTGAAATCAGGTTGGCATGAGCACCACCAAGTTGATCTAACCCAAATTGCACCCCTATACTAGAAGAAAAACGTTGTCGCTTTCTTCTCATATCCAATAAACGTCAAAGTATGATTCTCTTCCCTCTTAATCTTTCTCCCCTTCCACTCTCTCTTATTTAAACGGCTACGACCAAACCACATCAACATTTTGTTTTGAATTTTTTATAAAGAGAAAAAGAAAAAGAAAAAATGAAAGTGTGAGAGGAGAAGAGGGAAGGAGATGAAAATATGAGGGGAGATAATCCTATTCCATAAACGTTGGACAACCCAGACATTGGAGTATTTATTTTCTTTCCTCTTATATCAATTCTTGAAGTTGGTGCTATCCACACACCTATTTTTACCTTTCACACATCCTTCTCAATTTCCGGTTGTTGGATCGAATGAACTGAAGATGGTTAATGAACAAAAATTAACAAGAGTGTGCGAGAGGTAAAAAAAAAAAGGTGCGTGAATAGCATTACCCTTCCTGAATGACATGGGGATTTAGCACCATCTCACAAGGCCCAGCCCAAGCCCAAATTGTTTGGGCTATCTGTGTCGATAGAAAAAAAGGAGGCCGATCCAAATGGGTCGTTAGAGAATCCAAATTCAAAAGTGCAGCAGAGCGTTATAAGGAATGCGCTGAAGAGCGGGAAGAAGAAAACAGCAAAGAAATGTCAAATGAGAAGACGCTGAAACGGAAACCAAAAAAGAAAATTCCCAAAAAAACTGTTCGAACAGAAAACGAAGCAATTAATTAATTAAATAAAAAAATAAAAAAGAAAGAGAAAGAGGAAGAGAAGAGAAGAGAAGAGGAGAGTGAGTGAGTGATTAAGCGTAAAGCTGTATGTAAACATTGATTTTGTTTCCTAAATAAGTTTTTGGGTTTTTGAATTCCAAGAAATAGTTTGCTCAATAAATTCAATTATCCCCCTTTCTTCCAGATTCACCGTTTCTCTCTCTACCTTGCCTTTCTCTCTCTACAGACCACAGGTATGCCTTCTTCTTCTTCTCTGTATTTGTTGGAGGATTTTGGATTCTGGGTTTTGATTTTATTCGCTGTTTATTTATTTTTTTATTTTATTCTCCAATTTATGTGTTTTTTGTTCTTCTGGGTTTTCTGAAATTTATGTGTTTTGTGCCATATGAGTCTGTTTAATGCATGGTTTAGGAAAGATTTGGCTTAAAAACGAGAGCAGTGGCGTTACAGCCGACCGTACTAAGTGGGATAAAACTTGGTTGTCGTAGTGTTCAATTTGAGGATACGAAAGTAAAATTGAAACCAGGGAATTTACTGTCTTTAACTTTTGAGTGCATTCTGATTAAATTTGTTAAAGAATTTTATGATTGTTTTTAATTAGAATTTGTTGTAATCTTTAAGATGTTTGAGACCCCTTTTCTGTATATTTTTTAAATGGTAATTTCGAAACGAGAAATTGAGCACCAAATCGAAGAACATAGTATGAACCGGAAAGAAAGCGAAAATCTGTTTATTTTAGATGAACTATCATGGGGAAATTTGGTGGTGAACTCAGAATTGGTCATCTTTCTTTTTTTTATTCGAGCGATATTCTTATTAGTATATGTTTTATGAACGTTAGGGTGTGAATTGAAGACTAGTGATATATCAGCCTGTTAGCATGAGTACACAAGGATCTAGTGCATATCGACAATGGAATCTAAGAGACGCTCAAAGGGGAGGCATGAGAGATTTGGACCTCAATTATCCGCCTCCTCGCGAGAACATGGCTCCGACTGGTCCATTGCGAATACAAGCTCAAGGAAGTGGACATTCTCAAGGACAAGCAATAACCGCTGCGCATCTTGTTGATGATGATGATGTTGTTGTAATATCACCAAGGAAATTTGAAGAAGTATGATTTTAGATTTGAAGTAGGATGAATTTTATCTTTAACATTACATCTTATACAAAAAACGCTTAGAGTTGATTTCAATTGTCTTGTGTGTGTGTGAATTAATTGTAGGCGAGAAATAATGCTCGAAGAAGTCAGTCTCGAAGAAATGGTAGAGTCATAGAAGGTTTTTCTGAAGGTGAGAATTCTTAATGGTTCTTTTATGCATATTTGCCGTGTGCTTACAATTCTTACATTATGCAAGCATAGAAAGTTCAGTGACAATTCACTGTTTCTTTACGTATATTTTAGATTTATGCCTTGTTCGGTATCTTGCTTCTGATATTTGTAAATTTTAGTTAGGGTTCATACACAGTTCCACAACAATGAATGATGTTTGATGTACCATCCAAAGTTCGTTATGTCTTATTTAAGTCTTCTTGGTTGCACTGACCTACTTATAATATACTATCGACAGAATTGACAAATTGGTGCCAACTTGGAGATCTTGGAGCTTTCAACTGGGAGCTTTCCTTCAATTTCGATTTCATCAACAAAGCAGAGGATACTGTAAGAAGCGTCCCTAAGTTATTACGATGCTATTTCCTTGATTTCTTATATAATCCTTTTGTTGTCTTTACTTAGTGCAGCATATTGACTACTTGTGCTGGACATATCCGATGAATTCTCGTTTTTAAGAGCTCATGTTGATGTTATGAGTTCTATTATCTAACCATCAGATTGGTTTAAGTTTCTGGAACTAACCTTGGAAGTTTCCGATGGCAGATACCTAGTGTTTCGGTGACTCCAATAGCGCCCCAGACCCAGAATGTGCCCCTGCCAGAGGCACCTACCTTTACTTGTGCAATATGCATGGGCCAGTTGATTGAAGAAACGTCAACAAAGTGTGGTCACATCTTCTGCAAGGTGTGCATTGACACAGCCATAGCTACTCAACACAAATGCCCTACCTGCAGGCATAAACTTAGAAAGCGAGACACCATCAGGGTCTACCTTCCAAGTAGCGGTTAAATGGATTTTTTACCTCCTAGCAGCGGAATTTTATAGGTGGTGGTGTAACTGTTCTTGTTTTTCTCAGTTTTGGTACTAATTCTCATTGACCAAAATGATTATTTCATAATCTCGCTCTTTCTCTCTCTCTCTCTCTCTAGTTTTTTACTGCATCAAACTAGAAGCTTTCTCTGCATATTTGTTGATTTATTCCATCCAAATGTTTGATATTTATTGAAGGTGACCACGTTCCTAATTTAGTCTAATCCATATAACCCTCGCTTTATCTTCGCGCAGGAAAAGGTCTGTATTCTTAGGCATTGCTAGTTGATCTGACAGACTCACACAGCGGTTCAGCTGCCCAAAGGTTGCGAATCTTAGGTTTCCAGTCGAAGACATTGGTTTTTCAAGTCTCCACAGTTTCCGTTTTGAGCTTTCCTTCGATAGTTGTATGGATTTATTCAGTTGTTCCGCTGCTGGGATGGTTTCGGTTTAAGATTTAGTTTCGAAAACAGGCTTAGATGTTGTTATCCTTAGCTTCTTACATTTTGTTACAGGCAGAAGAACTGGGAAGGCTGCCACTGGTGGTTGTGGTCTTCCAACATTTTTTGTAACAACGTAATTTGGCCGTCGGTATAAATGGAAGTTTTGACAACAAATATTTTTTACCTGGTTTGCGCATGTTGAGACTAGACTTGTCAATGAATCGGATTTTGAACGAATACAATATCCAAGTTACTCAACTGACAATAGTAGAGTATGTTTCTCTCTCCTATATTTTGGATGCTATAACGTTGGTGTTGAAGTCAATCATGTAATTTAAGTAATAAAATTTTCAAATTATAGTGCGTCATTAACATGGGTTAACATCCTAAATTTGACTATTTAACGGCATTTTAAAAAAAATGTAGCCTTCAAGAAGTGCTTAAGTTTAAAACTTCTGTGATGTGGTTTAAATGAATTTAGTATACACTATCTTTACCATGCTTAAAAGTGCTTAAGTTTGAATCCTCTGTGACTTAGATAAATTTAAATTACGAAGAAGGAAATAATTTGAATCTGGAACGTAGTAGGTTGAAAGAGAATATGTATTTTTTATACACATATCCAATAAATATAATGAAGCCCAACTTTCTAGTATCCGGCCCAATTTCTTAAGCCCATAATTTGCGGCGTCCCTTTTTTTTTTTTTTTCGGTTAATATCCGCAGCTTTTCAATTTTGCAATTACTCTTCTCAAATTTTGAATTTCGCAGCTCCATTTCTGTGCACGCAGAGGGCGGGAGCGAGAGCGAGAGAGAAGAAGATGGAAGATCCAATTTCTTCTTCAGAACCCTCGACCTTATCACCCTTCGGAGGTCTCTCTCTCTCTCTCTCTCTCTCTCTCTCTCTCTCTTCCTTTTTGTTTATTTTCTGAATTATTGTGGTTTAATTTGGTAGACAAGTGAGAGAGCTGGAAGAGGTTCTCGACCAAGATAATATCTCAGAATTAAATCCTTCAGAGTCTCAAGATGTACTCAGAGACTGCGGCCTCCTCCTCCAGGTTTTCTCGAAATTTTGCCCACTTTTTCGTCCAATTTGCTACCATTCTTCGAATTTCCCTCACCCTCCTTATAATTCTGCAGCGCAGACTTGAACAGATAGTGTCGGAATGTTCAGATGTCGGTCTCTTAGAGGATCAAGATTATGGTAATTAACCCTTAATCTCTCTGTGTTTGTGTTAAATTTTATTGGGCAGTCAATTTTCGTAAGTGGGTTTGTGACATTTGATACTGTAACTTACTGCACAATGTGATTTGTCCAATTTTTTGGTAGAAGCGTACTTGGGACGTTTCGAGCAGGAGCTCAACTCTGTGCAGGCTGAGAGCACCAAGGTCTCCAATGAAATCGAGGGTCTTATTCAAACGCACGAGGAAGGTGAAGATTCGGTGTGATGTTGCACGCCAATGTGCATTGAGACTTTTTGTATGGTGTTTTCTTTGTTTATTACTTTTTTTGACCTTTTTTTTTGTATATGCAGATTTTCATCAACTTGATATTGATCTTGCGCAGTTGAAGTGTTCATTGGATTTTGTTGCAAAAAAGGTTGGGTTCTGTGGATGAAACATTATTAATGCTTTGATTCAGTCTTTGGTTGTATGACAAGTTGTGCCAGTCCATTTGGTTGATACAAATGAGTTTGAATGGAGATCTATAATTTGTTTTTCCTCGTGAGTCTGTGGATATACATGTTGAATTGGATTACAATTATCATACTGTATGATATTGTTATTTAGCTCTTTATTGAAATACTATGTGTAATCCTTTTTAACCAGTGTTCCAGTTGTGCAAAGTTCCCAGATTTCTGTGTTGTAACTTGTAGGCCTTTACGCTTTCTGTGATATCTTGTTGATTCTCTCTTAGTCCCTTTCTTTTTCTCACTTTTTCTCAACTAATCCTGCTTATGTATACGATATCTTTCTTCCCACAATTTGCGAAATTTTGAATCTATTTGGAAATCACATATGAAGTCTCTCAAGAGAATATCTGTGTCTCATTTGCAGGATCTGGAGAAAGAAAAGCGGGATGCAGATGTAAATTACATTAAAAACAGGAAAGATCAGTTGGATCAAATGAAGGTGAATCCAGACAAATTCGAGGTTTCATTAACCATCTTATAATATCATTCTGTTTACTTCTAGGGTGCTTAGATTATTATACATACGGACTTTTTGCGATTGTGTCTTGATTGTTATGTAAGGAGTTGGTTTATTTGACAAATTTCCATTACCCTTTCACCATTTTAAGATGTTATGTGTTTAACTTGCAGGTACTTGAACTTGAAAACCAGATTGAGAAGAGCAGTAAAATTTTGAAGTCTTTACAGGATTTAGAATGTGAATTTAAATGGTAACTTGCCACTCTGTCCTTGCTTACCTTGCATTATGTGTGGTGTTTTTATTTTATGATGATATAGTTATGAACTATTCTTTTATATCTTAGTTGATTTGTTTAATTGATGTAGGCTTGATGACACAGAAAAGATTGAGGATGAATTTACAGGTCTTAAGGTCATTTCTTTTGGGGAAAACTGTATTCGGTTGTCACTTAGGACATACATTCCAAAGCAAGAAGAACTTTTGCCCCAACAAAAAATTGCCGATGCCATTGAGCCTTCTCATGTGAATCATGAGCTACTTATTGAACTTCTGGAGGGGACTCTGGATTTAAGGAACGTTGAGGTATCGCAACATGAGATTATCTCGACTTATTTTCTTCATGAGTATTGTTTTTCAATAGCGTTTATAATTAGAGGCATTACTTTAACATCAAAGCAATTATAGGTCTTAATAATGTTAAAAATTTTTTGAGAAAGCTAATCATGCTTGATCCATTATAATGAACCTTGTAAGCATGAAGTATATCTTGAGTTTTAAACTTTTAAAAAAGTCAACCACTTTGCTTTCACTAGTTGTTTGTGTGGTCAACATCTTGTCAATTGTTTTTGTGAAATTTTGCGGACCAATTTTTCTGCAGACATAGGATTTACAAGAGTTTCCCAGTATCTTATCTCTTGTAAGATATGCCCTTCCACTATACAACAATTTTGTATATTAGGAGTTTTGCCCTAGTTTGTACATAAAAACCAGCCATCGGTTCATTGTGTATCACCTTTTCTACACTTTTTGAGGGTGGTATACCTGTATTTGATATAAGGGCTACATCCTGGTCGATCTTTTAAGTGAATTGCTAATGCTCTTGGGTTTAATATAGGCATTATACTATAGATCTTTTAAATGTATTGCTAATGCTCCTTAATTTGTACAGATTTTTCCAAATGATGTGTACATAAATGATATTCTTGATGCTGCAAAGTCTTTGAGGTTTGTTTAGTATCTGTCTTATGATTTTGTAACATTTCATTGTTTCATTCTTGTTGTCATGGTTTATGTGTCTGTTGTTTCTCTTTTCGCTATTGCAATTGTTAGTGTTTCAATAATTAAATGGCATGTAGTAATTACAGATCATATAAAGATATCTTGATGGTTAGACGGGAAAATAAAGTATCAGATATTATCATGAACAGGGTTTTCCAATTCAGGACCTGGCAGACAGCTGACACTATGGAGCTGATCACGATTCACAACACACACACACACACCCTTACATTGCCGAGACATATTCTTGAACAGATTTCTCTTTCTATACGTTTTAATTGATTTAGTCTTTGATAACATATATATTTGTCTTAAGCGTGTTCTCTTTTCATAGCAAATGACTGGATAGTAGTTGCTGCCTTAGCTATCTTGATATACTTGTTGCATTGACTCTTATTTATCTGCTGTACATGGAAATGAAAATGTAAGGTTTATTTAAATATTTGTCTTAGTAAGTATAAATATAAGACAACCTTATATCTATTTACTTTCCCACCAGAAGGTGAGGTTTTGTAAAACAAAATTAACCAGCATGTTATTTGATACAAATCATGAAATCCACTTTGCAGTAAATCTTCATTGCAGTGGTTTGTAACAAAAGTGCAAGATAGAATTGTTCTATGCACCATGAGGCGACTAGTGGTAAAAAATGCAAATAAATCAAGGTGAGACTAATTCCTTAACAATTTTGTCCATGTATGTTTTATGCTCTAAATAGTGTCCGACATAATTCAATTCAATGTTTTCACTGATTTTTTGTAATAATGTTTTGTAATGTTTTTGTTCTTCTCTCTAGTTTGTTTTCAAAGTCAAATGAGATAGGAGAGGGAGATGAGGGAGTTAATAAAGCTGTTTTAAAAATTAAAAGTGAAGAAATCCAAATTGTTTTTAGCTTTACAAATGATTATATCTGTTCTTTTTAGCTCGCCTTTCTCTTTCCTTAATTAAGACAATATTAGCCAGAGAGTAGTAAATCTTCAAATGTTTTGACACAAACATTATTCCATGCAGACACTCGTTGGAGTACTTGGATAGAGATGAGACAATAGTGGTTCATGTGGTTGGAGAAGTTGATGCATTCATTAAGGTTCCACAAGGTTGGCCATTGCTAAGTTCTCCACTGAAACTGATATATCTCAAGAGCTCTGATCAACATTCAAAGGGAATTTCTTTAAGTTTTCTGTGCAAAGTTGAGGTCAGTGTACGGCTCCTTATCTCTCATATTAGGTCCCTGTGTCCTTCTGGTACGTGTAAGTTTCATCCAGGAGTTTCTTATTAAGTTAACTTCAATTTTGTTATAATATGTATGCCCACCTTTGAGTTATCTGCATCTCGGACCGCAAAGTAGTCAAAACAGTTGAAATTGTGGATTCATTTTTAAGCAGGTAAAACCCAAAATGTGCAAGTAGTATGTGTTAAAAAAAATGTAAACAACAAAAATAAGAAGACATGTACAACAGATAAGGTAGAATACAGAAATGTTGAGTTCATCGTTTACAATGCTGTTGCATTTTGACTCTGGGTAAATTTGAGTAACTTCATCAAATTGAGGGGAGTTGCAACTTGCAAGCATGCCTAGTGAGATTAAACAACAACAACAAAGCCTTGTCCCACTAAGTGGAGTCGGCTGTATGAATCCTAGAATGCCGTTGAGCCCGGTGTTGTGCCTAGTCTTTCGTTAGCTCCAAGAACTTCATGTCTTTTCTTAGATTAAGCTTTAGAAAATTTTAGTTTTCTTTGGAATAATTGGAAGCTTATATAAAAAGTATATGAAAGCATAAACTATATTTACATAAAAACAAGTTAACAGATTTCCCACAAGTTTTATCATATTTTTCATACGGAAGAAAGGTCGTGTATTCTTCTTATTGTCTCTACTATCGTCGGATCTATGCATTTTCTCTAGTTTTGCATTGTGCTTTCTAGTGTTCTTTTTTGGTTCGTAGCGTCATCTCTGATGGTTTTGATGATTTAGGAACTGGCGAATTCCTTGGGTGTGCAAATTCGGCAGAGCCTATCAAGTTTTGTGGACGCAATTGCAAAAGTACTTGTCGAGCAGATGCGCGTACAACTCCATGCTGAGACTTCTCATAAATGACTTGTATTCTTATCAGACATGTAGTCAATTCTGGGACTTCAACATTTTAGTATTGTCTTTGTGTGTCCAAAATTGTCCTCAACTTATTTGGGATAAATAGGATATGACGCTTTACCGCAGGGGCGAAAGGCATGCACCATGGTGCGTGTTCGATCCTCATCGATTCCCTTCTCCCTAACAATTAACCATTTAATCCACTCATGCCATTGTTTGTCATAACAAATGTTTTAAGTAACAGAAAAAATAAATAGACATAGAAGGTAATTTGTTTCAGGTAACAAATGTTCATGCAGCTTCAACAAATAACATTACACAGGAAAGGATTTAACTATTAGTACATGAAACGTACACAGAACCAATCGAGAAAAGTGAAGAATTCCTGGATCGACGGAAATGGATGAACAACAAAACACAACATCATTAGCGTCGAAAAGCATTGCGCTCACTTGCTTCAGGCCTGCCTTGCAAATAATGTGTTCGGCGACGTACACTCTCCTCAATTGTTGAGCTTCCACCCTTCTCGGCACCATAAACACTAGTTTGCACAGCATCCAAGAAATTCCTACCACCGGAGTTGCCAGCCCGTGTGGCTTCCTGGGCATCATTCTCCGCAGCCTTTTTCAGTCGTTTCCATCTTTGCTCTTCATGCAACTCAGCATCCATTTGCATCTCCTTTAGCCTAGCAGCTCGCTCTTCTTCTGAAAGTTTAGGAGCACCATTCCTACGCTTATAATGTGGTTCATTCCGACCTTTCACGGAATATTTTTCTACGTCCGAACTGTCAATTTTCCCCTTGACAACCCCTTGCCCATCCTCTCTGGCAACTTTTATGGAGTGATTCTTCTCACCCCTATGTGCTCTGTCACGTGACACATCTTCAAAATCTGAATGCTTAACATGGTTCTTCTCACTTCGACGAGCTCTTCTACCCGATTCATCTTCAGAATCTGAATTCTTAACATGGTTCTTCTCACTTTGACGTGTTTTGTAAAGTGATTCATCTTCGGAATCTGAATGATTAACACGCTTCTTCTCACTTCGATGTGCTCTGTAACGTGATTCATGTTCAAAATCTGAACGCCTAACTGGGTTCTTCTCACTTCGACCTGCTCTGTAATGTGATTCGTCTTTTGCATCTAAATGTTTAACATGGTTCTTCTCACTTCGCCATGCTCTGTCACGTGATTCATCTGCGGAATCTGAATGCCTAACAGGGTTCTTCTCATTCCGACGTCCTTTGTCATGTGATTCATCTTCTGAATCTGAATGCTTTGCATGATTCTCACTTCTACGTGCTATTTTACGTGATCCATCTTCGGAATCTGAATTATTAGCATACTTTGATATCTTGCGATGACTACTCTTCCTCCTTTCCACTTCAACAGTGTCATTTTCTGAATTGGATGCTTGTTTGGATGATGAGTGCTTGCGGTGCTTGGATGTGTGATGGCGCTTCTTACGAGGTTCCTTCTTGTCATCTTCTTGCTCCGAGGGCTTCTTTGCATCTACCTTTTATTGCAAAAAATAAAAATATGGTCAGCATAAACATACCAGCTGTAAATAAAATCTGGTGTTAAAAGGCCGTGACATTTTTTTCCCTTATTTCAAGGTTTCAAACATTGTAGCTTGAATGTTTCTCTTAAACAAATCATAAGCATCCGTAAAACCCTGATAAACATAGCAAAAGACACAAAATGGGCACAGTAATAAATTGCTAGTGTTTGCTGGGGTGAAACGCATGCCCTGTGAACAGATAATCTTCTCAAGTAAAAAAATTGGAAACAACAAAGACTTGTAGACCTACCAAGAGCATAATCCAAAGGACAAAAATGACTTCCTCTGAATAGAAGGCTAGCTATAGTGATGTAGAACCAGTATCGGATTCTAGGGTTTTGTAATTAGAAGGCAGAAAAGAGAGGTAGGAAAAGAAGAATTAGTAGGAGAAGATCGCAGGAAGAGAAAAGGCTGCTTGCTTAATCATTCAAACCAGTCTATATTGAGTTACAAAGCCCCTTTTTATAATAATCTAACCACATAGCACAATAGGACAGTAATCGTAATCCCACTCGAAAAAGTAATGTAATCATAATCCTAGATGAAATAGTGGGCCACACATGCAACCAATCCCACATCAAACATCAAGCACGGAAGCATGGTGTTCTATTAAACCCGATAACTCGGACACGACACGTACAATGTTGCATTAAACCTGGTAACTTGGGCATGGCACAAACCCATAGGACCCACAATCAAAACCCACTCTGATACCATGTCAGATATTCAGAGAGACGGGCCAATGGCCCTCCCTAACTACCCTGATACTATCCCAACTTAACCATATATTGTTAGGTGTTACGTTTTATCACAAAAGACCTCGATGTTAGTAGGGGTAGAACCAATACACTTACATATTGTATTTACATTCTCTCTCTTAGGCCCTAAAACCTCAGCATCGAACCAAAATAGCATTGACGACTAAATTTTACATCTACAGTTTTGTTGTTTGTATTGAGAGAGGCAGAATTTTATGTAATTTGGACACTTTCAAATCATCAATTCATTTATAATTACTTTGTCTAACATAATAACTAATCTAATCTATTGTTGGTTAGAAAAGAAAAGAAAACTACTGGTAAAAATAAAAATTAGAACTTACAGATTTGCGAATCATGGCCATCTGGACAGGATTGTTTTTAATACGAGAAAGGGCTTCCTGCTCGCGCTGCCGGATCATAAGCAAAGGATCCGAGTGGAGCTTCCTCCAAGCGTCGTTGGCAGATTGGGGCTTTTCTTCAAAGAGAGCTCCCGGCGCGGTTGGCTGCTGCTCCTGAATCAGTAGTCACAGACGAACAAAGGATCAATAGAGAACGCGACTATGTAATTGCGGTGCATTACAGAAGATAGATGCATACAATTGGGAACTTAAAGACTTGAAATATCATTATACCTTGGCGGGGGCGGACGTAGAGGAGGAAGGCGGGTCTTCGGGCTTGGGTAAGTTAAAAGCATCGGAGCCGCCAGGGCGCCCAACGGACAATCCGGAATCGTATAAGAACTCTAATCGCTCTTGCTTTCTGCAATTAACAATCAATCGCAGTTGATTAGAGAATTAACTCGGGCAATTAAAAAAAAAAAAAAAACAAAAACCCTAACCCTAAAAGAAAACTGAAAGAAGGAAGAAAGAGAATGGAATTGCTTACGGGACGAGGCCGGCTTGCACCTGGAGAAGGCGGAACTCGGAACGCTCGCGCTCCTCGACGATCTGTTTGCGGAGCTCGTCCAACTTCTTGTCTTCGGCGTCGCGCTTCTGCTCCGCCTTCCAGACGTTCTCGATGTTCCGAAGGCTGCCTGTGTGCCATCCCTTCTTGTTCAAGAATTTCAACGCCATTCTTCTTCTGCAGGGGAGGAGGAGGCGGCGGCTGATTCAATTTCTTTGAAATGATAAAATTTCTAACTCCCACACTCGCAATCAATCTTTCTTGTGCCTCACCCTTCTCGTTGCCGTATGTGTTTTGGAGAAGATATAGATCTTTTTATTTTTTCCAGAACCCCGGTTATTATTGTTCCAAATTTGTATTTGGCCCTATGATGAATGAAATTCTACAGTTTGAAGGAATAAAAACAAAACTAGAACTCCAAATATTACACTATGACACATGTATTTTACATGAAATTTCATTTACTCCTTACGTTCTACTTTGTGACACGTGTAACATTTTAGAAAATAATTTTTGAAGAACCGTGTAATACAAAATGATTTTTACATTTTTAAGATATGAAAATGTGCCAGATAGTTTAATCTGAAAATAAAGTATTAGAATGAAAACATTGAAAACGCGCTCCAAATATTATCTTAAATGCAATTACATATAGTTGAGCTTCTGTCATAAAACTAATTGGTAATATGGAGAGTAATCTAACATTTTATAAGTCATTCTAAAGTCTATTTTTTCATCAATGTGAGACTCATTCTCAACACGCTTTCTCACATGTGATGAACTTTCAAGCCTAACACGTGGACAACTGTTTGGACTTGATTTTACATTGTCGGCCGCGAAGAAAATGTTATGCCACCCATTTTTTCGGTCGAGATTGAAAGTTTAGTAGGCCTAAAAGAAAAAGTTCAAGTTTCTGAGTCAAAAATCAACTCAGAAAATGATTCGTCAAAAGAGTGTTTCAATGACGAACATGGCCGATACACAACTTCAGATGAAAAAACCACATCAATTGATATGGTAATTGGAGACGTGACCTTAGACGTCGAAACCATGACAGTCGATATGGTTATTGGCCATAAAGTCAACATGGAGAAAACCCATTTGGCGAAGTTGTTCGAGTTGAAAGCCGAAATTGGTGAAATAATTATGCTCAGGGGGCTCAATTTTTCAATGCATTTGGCAGCCGAAAATGAAAAATATTTCGCCAAGTCAAAAAGATTCAATCATTTTTTATTTGGCTCGATGCAAAATCTGATTGAAAATTTGATATAAAAAGATCTCGACTTGGAATAAAGCATCATTGGCCTCCTCCTGGTTCGGCCATTTTCATTTTCTTTTGCTAAAAAAAAGAAAAATTACTTTCTTAACCATTCAGCCTTTTAGGTTGATGCATAAAAAAATAAGGGGGCAACATTGGTATAATTGGCGATCAAGTTTTCCTTTTAAACCTCGTCGAGAGAGATTATTTGCTGCGTTGTTGCATGTTTAATTCAATGAAGGACACGAGGTTTGATGGCTGGGATCTGTCGAATGATTGTTATTTGGTGATGGTTTTGCTGTTTTTTCTCGGCCATATGTTTTTCGCCAACCCTATTTGTGTGTCAAAAATCTGCTCGACACTCAGTATCTATTTCGCTGTTGTTGTTGAGGTGATCATCAGCAAGAATAAATGATAATGTTCCCACGCATGTCGTATCAACAGTAAAGTCTAGCCAAAGTGGTTTTGTGGCTCCGATCTTCAATAGAAAAAAAAAAAAAAACAGAGATGACTCAGTGGTCATGGTTTTTGATGCGCCGCCTCAAAAAGAAGACAAATGAAAAGCTTGATGTGTGTTCGTGACTTGATGGGTGTTCGTCGATCTCGACAATATTTTTGGTCTTGTGTACTTCTCGACCGAGAAAATACCATGCTTATTTGTTGATAGTAGATGCAATAAGTGGAAATCGCTGAACTGGGCGTGAGGCTTATTCATTTTTAACCCTCGCCGAAGAAGAATATTTGATGCCTTGCTGTTTGCCTAATTCAACAAGGCCTCGTGGTCTAGTGGTGTTTTCGCAATTTGGCTGGGATCCCCACAACGGAGATTTGGCTGAATAAAGAAAATTGAGGTTGGCTTTGGAGTCCGTGCCACTGAAAGCCTGCTTGAAAATGGAGTTTTCTCAAAAATTAGTCAGAAAGGATCGGCCTCGTCTTTGAGTTTGACTGCTGATAAGGACAAATGAGGGGATTTCGATATATATATGTTGTGATTCCATTGAGGGTGCCAATCGAGCTCGGCGGTCGAAGACTTACCAAATGAAGTGAAGTGGTTTTTTTTTCATAGTCGAGATATTTTTTTCTCACTGAGCTCTGCGGACAAGTCTTTGCCGAGTAGAACGAGGCTTGAATTGAAAAAGTTGATTTTGTTGCTGGCGAATGACTCTTGTGCCATTGTTGTTTGGTACAAACCGCGAGCTAGTGAGCTATAGGAAATTTTGGAGTAGTGTTTGGATCCGATTTTACATCATCAGCTTAAGCAATCATGGTCGTTGGATGAGTAGAGTTTTAGACCGTTGGATGATAAAGTGGTTGAGATGATTTTTAATTACTATTGAGGGATAATATTGTGGTTTTAATCATAATATTATCTCTTAATATATATTAGATTATCTAAGCCTAATATTAGCTATATCCAGCTGGTTGTTTAAAGATAAGTGATGAGGCAAATCATATTCCCAACTTGGAGGAACAGTTCAAACGGGTTTGGGATGTTTGTACGACTCATGCGGCAATACAAATTATGAAGGAATTAATTTCATTTAAAATCAATGCTTGCATTAGATAAAGGTGAAATGATGCAGTAGGTGGATGATGGTGATCAGGATCACATCGTGACATTTGATTTGCAAATGGTTTGCATGGATGAGACGGCTGATAGGAGCGTATTTATACGACTTAGTTAACTTGTTTTCTTGCATTTAATTAGCTAAACTATGTTAATTATAGTGTTTAAAGTTATTTTCGTGCAATTTCAGGTTTTAGTGTCAAAGTATGCAAAAAAAAGCAATTTGGAGCATTCTAGAGCATTTTTGGGCCAAGATTGGATAGTGCAAGCATGGAGGCATGAGGATGGACGAATTTGAAGGCTTGAATTCAGTTAGGGAGCTGCAAGGGGGCCTAAAAACCTTATTTCTAGAAGGCTTTATCTATTCACACATGGTGCCTAATTCCTACCTTGTCTCCTAGCCGTCCTACCTTGTCTTAGCCGTCCTACCTTGTCTCCTACCTTGTCCTAGCCGTCCTACCTTGTCTCCTAGCCGTTCTACCTTGTCCTAGCCGTCCTACCTTGTCTCCTACCTTGTCCTAGCCGTCCTACCTTGTCTCCTACCTTTCCTAGCCCTATAAATAAGGCTTTGCAGCAAGGCACTAGGGGGGATCACTCATTCACCCAATTTTCGTCCATTCATCCAGCCACACTATTCTACACATCCTAAAATCCCAAAAACACAATTCCAGCCACTTTTACCACCTTTGCCGCAACCTTCCATCCAAGCAACCATTCATCCACCATAGCCGCACCTTCCCACCACCATAACCACCTTGTGCCGCCACCATTGAAGGAGAGGAGGAGTAGTGCCGTGCAGTCCAAAGGAAGGAAGAAACCTTGCACATGCGATCTGCAACTATTGGAGTGTTTGGAGTTCTTTCTTCTCTTGTTTCTGTTTTCATGTTTAATTTAACTTGTTGTTCAATTATGTTAAACATGTGGAACTAATTTCTTTTTAGTTAGAGGCGAATTTGAAGCCATGGACATATGTTGATTATGATTTGATTTACTCCAGTTATGAATTCATGAACTTTAGATGTGGTTTACTTTTCTGTTTTGTTTAAGAACTTGTTTATGTATGTGGGTTGAGGGTCGACACTTAATTTGCATGACTAAACTTGATGCTAGGATATAAGGGAATTTCACCTAATCGTTATGAACTTATATTCATGAGTAGTAAAAATCGCTAGTCACGATTGTGTTTAGTAAACCCTAGGCTGGATTAACATGCGTATTCCATAGTTATGAATGCCTAGTCGATGTTTATGATTTCCGTTGAACTTAATGATCTTTGTTGAATGTCTCTATCATGCGTATTCCATAGTTAGGGACTTTGATTAGGAATAATTTGGTTGTAATGCGTATTCCATTCAATCCAATGAATCTAGGGAAATCTGAAAGTTAATTTAAGCGGACCTAATTAACTTGGAGCATTGTCATTCATCGTTTGTTGAAGTCATAACTAGGAATCAAATTATATGCATATGTTCATGTGTGGATAAGGAACCCTCTAACTAGTTTCTCATCATTCTATTTCATCAAAATCGGTTTTAGAATCTGTTTTGTTTCCAAGTTTCTGTTTTAATTTTAAATTCGTCAAAACCAATCCCCCATTTATTTTAAAGTGTTAGATTAGTTAGAAATACATTTAGTTTGTGTTTTTAAGAGTCTTGAGTCAAGTTACAACTTAATTTCGTCCAAATTTGTGTTTGTACTCAAAACTGCCCAGAAAGTGGTTTTTAGGCAGATTTGAGTGTGTTTGTGCTGTTTTGAGTCTTTTAGTTTGTTTGAGTGTTTTAAATTTTAGGTTTGCATTCATTAAGTCTAGTTTAGTGTTCTAAATATTGCCTTTATGTTTTTGAGTCAATTTCACATTGATTAGCATCCCTAGTTAATCCCCGGTCTAGAACGATCCCTATTTGCTCATATACTACAATTGTCATCCATAGGGTTTAATTTGTGTGTCAAGTTAATTCTCGCATCAACGGCATGAAAAAATGAGCTTTTTATGGTCTCCACGTGGAAGTTTAATGAAGATTATCTGGAATGGTAATTCCAAATGCATGCACTTGGACGTGAATATGGGTCTAAACATTGCATGGTTATTTAAAATGCTATGGAAGAGTTCCATGTGCTTGTAAATTGATATGATTGCATGGTTATCATAGGTGGACGACAGTTATCAAAGTGTGTTGCCCCTTTGGAATAATATTCATAGGAATATTATTTAGTCCGATTGGATACTCCTAAGTCACGGCAACAAATTCACAGCGTGTTCATCAAGGCACGTTCCTATAAATACAAAGCGGCAGAGGACATTCGAGGGACCTCCAATTCAACACACAATTGCCCTGCGCAAAACCTCTCAAACATCTTGAGATTTTTTATTTTCTTTTTCCGCTGACACATCTTCAGTTTGGATAAACAGCACTGTGAAGGCAACCGGTGAACATCTTCAGTTTAGATAAACAGCACTGTTGCCGTAGAATCAGCCGGTCGCGAAGCACCTTCAGTTTGGATAAACAACACTGCGTC